ATATATATATATATATATATATATATATATATATATATATATATATATATCAGGCTTTCCCAGGAAAGGCGTGCGGTCGCACGCCTTGTTTGTCCACGAATAGAATAAATTTTTCTGACTAACTGACCACGTTTTATTATTATGCGTTTTAAGAATTTGCGCCAAAACAAAATACCGCAAAAATGCAAGCAATCTTAAAGTAAATAACAGAAATCTGTTTGTGCTTTAAAATTAAAAAATTAATGTATATTATTAAAAAAAAAATTTACCTATATTTTATTTATATATTTTTTTAGGGTGGTAGTTATTTAAGCTATGAAGAATCAAATCAATAAGAAAAATCAAATTAAAAAGAAAAAGAATGTTTAAAGAAAATAAAAGGACCTTTTAATGTAAAATTTGTTTATGACTTTTATCAGTCAGTAATACTTTAATATTCACAATAGAACTATAAACAATTTTTAAATGTTTCGTAAATACATTTAAATGCTTAAATGTATTGATTTTAATGTTTGAATGTATTGATATGCAAGAAAACACGAAAACGATTGCTATTTATTAGTAAAACATGTTTGTTTTTTAAATGAAAGAAAATTTTATTGTCAAACGATTGAGTTGCTTATTTTGCAATCATTAATTGACATTGTGAACGAGTGTTAATATATAACAATGTCCCGAAGGAACTGTTTTCGTAACAATGAAAACAGAAGCAATCCAATTATTTTTTTAACTTCTTTTGTAATTACAAAATTATGCAATTGAATAATTTCAACGTAATAAAAGGCGAGCATTGACTCAGTATAATCAGTTTAGAATAAGTCGAGAAAGAACTTTTTTCACATTAAAATTTTGTAATGTTTAAAATCTTAGATAATATATTTAATAATTAAAACAGCAATTTATTTTCTTGTCTAAGTATTGAATAATTAAGTCATTGCCTTTGCATAAGCCTTCGTAAAAACTAAATTTAATGAAAAAGTTTAACCAAATTTGTCTAGAGTAAATAATGAATCAGTTTTTTAATACATTGTCTGATAAACTTTGTGAATAAATTACGTATCAAGTCTTTTTATTTTTGTGAAAACTTTATGACTTATCGTCGTCTTTTCCTTGACTTGTATCAAATTTCGTAGCTGAAAATAGCAACCCTAATAAAATAAAACAACAGTATAAAAATTTTGAAAAAATAGTTCAAGACTTTTTTTTTTTGTTACAACAATTTTTTTTTTTTAATTTTTTTTTATTATCAAAATATTTTTCTTACATCCAATTTCAATTTTATACTTTGTTTAGACTTCGTTTCATTTTTTTAAAATTATTTTTTATTCTCTGTGGATAATTTCCGCTTTCTTACAAAATATTGCCGCAATCACGTTTTCTGAAAATTTATTCTATGCATGGACAAACAAGGCGTGCGGTCGCACGCCTTTCCTGGGAAAGCCTGATATATATATACTTATATTGTAGATTATATATATATATATATATATATATATATATATATATATATATATGCGTGAATGTATATATGTGTGTGAGTGTGTGTGCATATGGTCATGTATGTGCATATATCCACAGGGTTATGTGTCCACAGGGTGTATGTGCATATATCCACTATTAAAACAGAGGCTAAAAGTAAGAATTTAAAGGAGATTTAAGGAGATACTTTCCTAATATTTAAGGAGATTTGGTTGCGAACAACTATTTTTCGAAAGAAAAAGTAAGGAGAATTAAGGAGAAAATGATTACATAATAAAAACAAAATAAAAGTGCTACCGCTATGTTTGATATATAATTTAATAGAGGAAGTAAAACTATTATAGAGTACCTTAATTTTTTTTACAAGATGTTTATTACTCATTCTATACCAATTAACACAAAAAAGTTAATTGGTAAGCTTGATTTTATTTTATTCATAAATTTAGACGCACAATCAAAAGTCTTGATAATATATATATTATATATTATATTATTAGTTTTTTCCCCATTTCTCATTAATAAATTTTATCAAAAAATATTATACAAATATGACTTACCTGGAATTAGTTAATCATTATTTAATAAATAAACAAAAGTTAAGTTTTGCACTAAAAAGACACGAAAAATGGGCAAAAGACGTATCACTCAAGGTTAAAGATGGCAAATTATTGCTCACATCAAAGAAGGAATTAAAAGTAATAGAGAAATCGCCAGGTTAATAGGAGTTTCTAAAAAAATACGTTCGAACAACGAAACAAAACTTTCTTCACACTGGTGGTGCTAGCGAGAAAACGAGGCCAGGTAGACCCTTGTCAACCATCAGAACAGTGTCCTTTTTAGAGCTGTCAGAGCTAATCCAATAATTAGTTACAAAGAATTGACCACAGAATTCAATACAATCCGAAATACATCTATTTCTCAAAGCACAGTCTGCCGAATACTTATCAAACACAAGATTTGAGTATACTCTGCTTTGAAGAAATCGCTCTTGCGCCCATATGATAAACAAAGGAGACTAAAATGGTGTCATGAAAGAAGGTATTGGAAAATAGAACTACGGAAAAACATTATGTGGAGTGATGAGAGTAACTTTGAGCTTATCAACCGCAAAAAGTATTACGCCAGGTATAATAGACCGACTGTACTGGAAAACAACCTTATTCTAATGTATATATATAATATATCTCCTAATGAATCTCTCTTAATGAATATCTCCTAATCTCCTAATCGCCTCCTCATGCGTCTAAATTTATGAATAATTTTTTTTGTCTTATTTTTTTAATACCATGTAGTTGTACCTAAATATTACTTAGTATTTGTATTTTTTTTGTAAATTTTTTAAAAATTTTGTATTCTGCATGTATTTATCTAATAAATAGAAAAAAAACTAAACCAAAATCTTTTTTTGTTATTGCTTTATTGTTAAAAAACTAAAAATTTCTATTCTTAAATATGAGTGCGTCTAAATTTATGAAAACCACTGTATATATATATATATATATATATATATATATATATATATATATATATATATATATATATATATATATATATATATATATATATATATATATATATATATATATATATATATATATATGTATAAGAAAATCATGGTGTTGTAAGATCCCATAAAATTAAGTAGATGAAATCTAGGTGAAACTCCATCCTCAGGGGCACAATATATTCACCTATTATGTTTCGGAGAACCTGATAAAAAATGGCTAGCATTACTCATCAGGGATTAATTGGGTTAAAGGATAAAAAGGGTACCCTTAGGGTAAGTATATATATATATATATATATATATATATATATATATATATATATATATATATATATATATATATATATATATATATATATATATATATTACCCTTAGGGATATAAGTATATATATATATATACCCTTAGGGTAGGTGTATATATATATATATATATATATATATATATATATATATATATATATATATATATATATATATATATATATATATATATATACACAGGCTTGGTCGGGAAGCGGGAGCGATCGCTCTCGAATACTGACCACGGAAATTATATTTAGTTGCGAAAAACTGGCCAGGTTTTTTAGTCGTTTTGAGAACATTTAAGTTTATTTACGAAACAAAAAATTTTTGTTTTACGGACATACATGGAAACATAAAAAACTTAAATGTTCTCAAAACATCTTGGTGCGAAAGAATAAAAAGAATATTTGCGAACACTAAAAACCCACCAAATTAACGAACAAACTAATTCTATTGGTTCAAAAAATACGCTGACTAAGCGAAATAAAATTTTGGAGCATTTTGTTGAAATGTTTTAGAAATTATTTTATTCATGTTTTGTTAAGTTTTCAGATTTCTAGCATAAATTGTTTTAAGAATATATTTAAATTGTTTACATAAATAAATGTTTTAAATATATATTAATTAAATTGTCAAAATTTTAAAAGTTTATTATAAATTATAGATTTTATTTGTACATTCTTTTTTTTTATTTAAAAAGTATGTATTCTTTATGTAAATGTAATTTTGTTGATCTGTTTTTTATCGTAATGTATCTTTTAAAGCAATTTTTATGATTTAAACAAAGACTTACAAAAATAATTGCGTTTTCAATAAAGTTATAATCGTTAAAGTTAATAAAACTAATTATGTAACAAACATATAAGAAGTTTCTGGTTACTAAACACAAACAACGCATACAAAGTAACTCACGGATGAACAAGCACCGCGCCTGAGGTCACGACAGAACACAAATATATATAGCAAATAATTAGATATAAAAAAAAGTTTCTAGATATTGGTTTACTAACTCTAATTATTTTCGCTTCATTTGCCATTCTTAAAAACTCTTTACACTTTTTTCTGCTTTAATTACTAATTAAATTACTAATTAAAAAGCCCACTCACTAAACATCATCAGCGATACTGTGAAGCAGTTTTGCTTCCTCGTCATATTTTTAACCTTTTTAGTTGATTTCTATCTTGTTAATTTAATGTCTATAGTAATTCAATGATTTAATTATTTCAATTGTTTATCTTACTAAGAAGAATTGCTTCAAATATGTTAAACTTTTCAAACTACGCGAAACATAAAATAGGTATTAATAAAAATTAGCTTTTTTATTTATAAAATAGTTTAGCTTAAATAAAACTAAAACTTGCAAACTTTGTTTAATAAAGAATATTTGTTTCCTTTTTAAACAATCGTAAGATGTTACTTTAGATAAAAAACATCGCTTAATTTTATTAAAAAATTTTTGTAATTGTCTCTCATCGCTCCAATTAATCTTGAGCGCTTTTTTTTTTTGCTTGTTAAAATGTTCTCAAAACGACTAAAAAATCTGGCTAGCTTTTCGCAACTAAATATTATTTACGTGGTCAGCAATCGAGAGCGATCGCTCCCGCTTCCCGACCAAGCCTGATATAGATATATATATATATATATATATATATATATATATATATATATACATATATATATATCCATTAATAAATTAAATAAAACAAACTTCTCTGGTTTTTGAACTTTTGGTAACAGCCTGTGAAAGCTTCCCAGAATCAACAAGTGCTGCAGTAAGTCTTTCATTAATCTTTACTTTAACTTCAACATTCTTGTATTCTGAACTCATTGGATAATTATATTATTAAGCTTATTAACCAATCAAAACTAAGTAAATAACTAACCAATCAAATAAAACTAAAAGTAAATTGATCAAATTTTAACTAATTTTAATTAATTTAAATTTTTTAAACACAAAAAAAGAATTAAAAAACAAAACTAACTATTGTCAGTCTTAACTTTTTATTTTATTATTTTTGTTCTGTCTTTTTAAATTCATCTAACTTTTTTAAATTCATATTTTAATTTAATTCAGTAAGTTTATAGTGGTTGCAAGCAACCACTATAAGTGGTAACTTTATAGTGGTTGCAATCAACCACTATAAGTGGTAACTTTATAGTGGTTGCAAGCAACCACTATAAGCAGTAACTTTATAGTGGTTGCAAGCAACCACTATAAACTTACTACTATAAAAAAAGAATAAACTTTTTTGGAAAAAGTTTCTTAGAAAATAATTTTTTTTTAACAAAGTCTATACACTTTTAAGAAAAAACTTGAAACATTTTACATTTAATTTGGTCCACTGAAACTTGGATTTCCTTTTTAATCTTCCAGGTTTCGAAGGAGTTTTGTCTGTGAGACAAACTAATAAACGAGCTCAAGGTGTTTAGAAACTCAAATAACTTTTCGAATGTTATGCTTAACATTTTCAGAAATTTTAATGGTGAAAATAAAATTGTAACTATTAAAATTTTTAACAACAAGATATTCAAGATCTTCTTTCACATTCCAAGTTAAAATTACAATTAATGATTTTAAACTTAAAATATAAATAAATTTTTTTCTCGAAGTAATAGGACAATATCAAAAAAATTCCTACTATTTTGTAGAACAATAACAACAAATATTCCCAATATTGCAAAAAAGGGAAAATATTTATTCCTGGCTAACATATATAAAGGTGTATATATAAAAGTGTTTTTCAAGAATTCTAAATGAACTGTAAAACCTAAACCTTTAACAGTATAATTTAAACATTTATAAAAGTAATTAAAATATGTTGGCATATCAACTTTTATATTGTTGTCATCTAAAGAATTATGAGTCAATCAGAATGTGATAAATCAAAATTACCAAGATCTGTCATAAAAACTATAGATTTTTCAAGAGATATAAGTAGAATAGAATTCGCTTTACAAATTTAAAAAAACAAAAAAACTTTTACTTTTAAAGTTTTCTCAATAACATTAATATTTTATTTAATGCATATTTTAAGTAATGTTCTCATTAATAATGATCTTATTAATGAGATAACATTTAATGATGAGATTTGAGATCAAAAATTTGAGTTTGAAAATTTCTTTGAGTTTTTTCAAAATTTATTAAAAAGCTATTTTTGATTTTTATGTTTGGCTAATTTTTTTTTACATTTATTACATATTTTTACATTTAACTACTTATGTTTCATTATTGCAAAGTATGAGTTATTTTTTTCAGTAAAATATTATTGGGTTTATTAAACCTTAACTAAATGAGACCAACAATCACTAAATAATTTTACTTTTTTTATTGTGAATTATATTAATTAATGATAAATACAAAAAACATATCGAAAATTACAATTTAAAATAATTTAAAAAATAGCTTAACAATATATAAATTTGTAACAATATACAAATATATAAAAGTATGTGTATATATATATATATATATATATATATATATATATATATATATATATATATATATATATATATATATATATATATATATATATATACACACTCTTGGGTTGCATATATAAAATGTGTTTCAAATAAATACAAAAATAAACTAGGATATACATATAAAAGCCTGCAATGCATGTATGTTTACATAGACGATATATATTTATATTCTATATAAGAAGCTGAAAAAAATTTAAAGAAAAATTTATTATTAAATTTTAACAAAATTTTAAATAAAATTATTATAAACATATTAATTAAATTTTAGCAATTTAAATTATTTTGGTTGATATTTATTGACTTATGAACAACAGTTTTATTAATAAATACACAATTAAAAATACTATCCTTTATGTGACTATACACTTTAGGAGTAAGATAACAAAATAAAAAGCCATTTACAGCACCTTGTAGATTATCTCCCATACCCTAAAAAACAATTAAAAATAACATTCAATGTATTTTTATTTACTCAACAATATATGAACAAAGCCATAAAGTCTATACAAAAACATGCATCATGAGAAATAAGCTTCCGCTTTAAAAGAGAAAATATACTTTCCAATCAATGTTTTTTAAAAATATTTTTTTGATAAATTTCAAAATTTCAGAAGTTGTGTTTATTTCTTTATGAAGCATTGTTAAATAATGATCTTTTATTCTTGTAAAATTTTTTTTGTTGCACAATGATTTTATTTACAAGAGTAAAAGTTGTTAGTAATGTATATTAAATAGATTTTTTTAAATAATTTTATTTATAAAATCCATTTTTGAACCAATAAGCAATAGTTTAATTTGATAGTTCGGTCATAAGATCAAAACCAAAAACCACTTTGACATCTACAAAAATAGTGTAACACCTCAGGTTCAAAAGCCATTTACTAATAAATAAAAATGCTTTTTTGCAAATAATAGAAAAAATTATGTTTTACAAACAAGAACGAATCAACCACTAGAATTTAATCAAAAAAATTTTTTGTTTAAAAAAACTGTAAACAATTAAAAAATATTCAAAAACTAGAAATCTATATTTGAAAAGTATGTCTGTGTCACTGTAACATCAGCTCCTATTGAGCATATTTTTTGTCAGAGTGGATTCATAATGTGCCCTCATAGAGCTTATATGTCTGATTTGTTGCTTTGATGTTTCTTAAATGTAATAAAGACTTATAGGCTATATAGTAAAAACTAATAATTATGACATACAGTGTCTCAAAAAATTATCCGACCAAACATTTTTAAAAATATTTTTCCTAAAAAAAGTGTATTTTTGTAAATTTCGACTTTTTTGGTAAACTCAAGATTAATAAAAATAAAAGAACTTGTTTTTAAATAGGTTTTATTTATTTTAGTGTAAAGTATGAACCACAAGGTTTTCAGTCTTAAAATAAAGGAACTTAGGTCGTTTTTTTATTCTCAAAAATATATTTGACCAAACATATTTTTTGTTCCATAATAAACTATTAAATAACAAAATAATTATTTTAATACTTAATAGGGCCTCTCTTTGCTTGGATTACAGCTTCTAGACCTCTAGGCATTGACTCGACTAAAGATTTTGTTTCTTCTGGTTGAATCTTTTCCCAGGCTTCTTTAATTTCCACTTTGAGGTTATCTTTTTTGGAAAATAACCGACCTCCAATTTTTTGGTCTAAAACTTCCCACAAATGTTCAATGGGATTAAGGTCCGGTGATTGCGCAGACCATTCCAAAACCTCAACATTATTTTTAGCAAACCACATCTTGGTTTTAGTGGCACTATGCTTGGAATCGTTATCTTGCTGAAATGTAAAATCAGATCCTAGCCGAAGTTTTTGAGCATATGACTTCAAATTTTGCTTTAAAATGTTTCTTTATTGCACCTGATCCATTATAGTATCAATAAATTGAAGTTTCCCAACACCCTTCCTTGCCATTGAACCCCATACCATCATGTTACCGCCACTATACTTGACAGTTCCTCTCACGCAGCTTAATTTGTAGGCTTCTCCTGCTTTTCTCCAAACTTTTTGGGCTCCATCAGATGACTTTAAGTTAATTTGTCGCTCCACAGGATCTTTTTTCAGAAACTTAACGGCATGTTTTAGAACTTCTTAGCAAACTCCAATCTTCTTTTCATGTGTTTCTTACTTAAATATGGTTTACTATGCACAAGTCGTCCTTGAAATCCCTGGTCTCGGATACGATTTCTGATTGTCTGATGGGATAATTTGATTCCATATTTTTCTTCAACTTGCTCAGCCAGTTTTCGAACAGAAATGAAGCGATTTTTCTTGACTTGACTATCGCTTGGTCGGATAATTTTTTACAAGCCTATTCAATACTAAGTTTCTTTTAGGACAAATAATAAACTAACTGAATCATGAATCGCTAAATAACATACTATTCCCAATAGAATTAAAATGACAGACAAAGTAAGTATCGCTTTTCATTGTTTTTAGTATAATTTAGAGTGTAAACATTTTTTTTTGCAAAAAACTTGTTTGGTCGGATAATTTTTTGAGACACTGTATAGTTAATGCTATTAACGAATATCAACATAATTTTAATTAAAAGATGTTAATATTAGATGTTAGCTTATAGCACAAAAATACATAAAATTAAAGAATTAAGTTTTAATTCTTTATTTTTATATGTTTTTCTTTTCGGTTTTCATATTTATCTACAAGTATATTTTCTAATTGACTTTGATGAATTATGCTCATAACCTTGGTCTAATTTCACAACATGTGGTTTTATTTTCACAGCACTTGCTACCTGCAGTTTTGTTAATAATTGGCCTTAATGTAAGGCCAAAATTTAAGTCTTTGTTCTTGAAAATGTTTGCGTAGGCCTTGAAAACTCCTATTCTTTGCCTTGGTCTTAAAACATTTGGCCTTGCTAAACTATATATATATATATATATATATATATATATATATATATATATATATATATATATATATATATATATATATATATATATATATATATATATATATATATATATATATATATATATATATATATATAATATATATAAATATATATAAATATATATATACATATATATATATATATATATATATATAAATATATATAGTATATAATATATATAAATATATAAATATATATAAATACATATATATATATATAAATACATATATATATACATATATATATATATATAAATATATATAGTATATATATATATATATATATATATATATATATATATATATATATATATATATATATATATATAATATATATAAATATATATAAATATATACAAATATATAAATATATATAAATATATAAATATATATATATATATATATATATATATATATATATATATATATATATATATATATATATATATATATATATATATATATATATACCTTGAATTTTACTCAACCATTACTGATGGTAATAAAGTCAACAAGGGCACAGAATTTTCTTCAGATGTTATGGAAGGAGATTAAAACTAAACAAAATTAAAGAGAAAAAAAGACCATCATTGTAAATCTGCAGAAAATTTCAAAAAGAGAACTTTTGAAGAAACGTGCAGTTACCAATGAATCTGGTATTGATGAAAGACAACAGCTACTTATTTTGGTAAAGACATTAGCAGTAGGCAGAGCAGCTTTAAATGATATTACACTTTCTGAAACATCAGTTCATAGAGCAAGATCAGTTAACAGAATCGAAGAAGCTAAATTAATGGAAGAAACCTTTTTTAAATTGAAGATACAACCTGAATTTTTGGAAATCATTGGATTAAAAAAACTTTCAAGCAAGCTACTGGAAAAAAAGAAAAGTGACTTGCTATGTATGTAGAGCCACTTCCTAAATTGCTAAGTACTGCTAAAATTGCCCAAGGAACTGGTCAAATGCAAATGCAATGTTGTTCAGTGATGAATCTACTTGATAAGTTACAATTGAAAATATCTGTTGATGTGCTAGTTTATTATACAAAAGCTGCAAAAAGTGGAGCATAAAATGGAGCGCTACAATCCTAATTGAGAAGCATCTTAATTGAGAAGATCGTTCTCTACTCTGACTTGAATGTAGACATATTCCAGTTTATAAAAGCAGCATCCAATTCTATTTGTCCAAACAAATTACCAAGAGTTTAGTTGTTCCATATTCAGTATGCCGGTTCAAAACAGGGTTCCATATTCAGTATGCCGGTTCTGATCGTCATACAAAATAGGTGTTTAAAGCTATTTATTTTATGAAAATTTTATTATCGGATTTTAATTAATTGTCAATGCTATGTCATTCAAATTTTATTCAAAAATATGTGCGGTTGCTACAAAAAGATTTTTGTCGGCTGGTAGCAAACAAGTTAATGCGATTCTTTGTTTTTTTATTTATATTATAACTATTATACTATAACTATACAAACATTTGTTTTACCTTTAATTTAGTTTGATTTGTATGTTTATTAGTAAAATAATTTGATTAATATTAATTTTCTAAATAGTTCAGTTTATATGTTTTATTCAAGTTGCTCGTTTTTTACTCAGTTTAAATTATACACTTTAGTAAAATTATTCTTTTAGTATCTACTTTATATTTAGTTTAAACCCTTTTACTGTAAATATTCGTTATATATTAAATTTTTATTTTTATAAATTTTATAAATTCAATCTTTAATTGCATCACAAACTTTTTTTGGGATTTAGTAAAAAGTTATATTCAATTAACATGATTTGGCGGTTGTGGCAAAAAAATAATATGATATTTTGAAAAAAAAATGTATACAATGACGTCATATACCAAAACTGTTATGAATTTTTTTGCTGGCCTGTATAATTTTTTATTAGTAAGGAATTGTTTTCTCTGTAGTGTTTTTAATTTTTTTTCCTAGTTTAAGTTTAGTTAAGCAGTTTTTTTTAGCACATTACTGAAATGATAATATCATCAAAACACCTTAACACTCATGGTCAAGTTGTCAATAAAAAAATCATTTGCGTGGTTAGCATTAGCGTTCAATCGCATGTCATTCCTGTCCAAGCCTGCATTTGAACCAGTTTGTTTTCGCTGAACTTTATAGAAAGAACTGGTTTTGAAAAATTATTTCAAATAAACTTTGGTAAAGTCACTCCATCATGTTCATCATTGACATGCAAAGCTTTAATTGATATGCTCAATGCAGTCAAGACCAATGTAAAGAATGCTTTAAAATACTTAAACGCTGCTTATTTTTTGATGGCTGGACAGTTAAATAAAAAAGACTATCATTTATTGGTGCAAAGTGTTCAGCAATAACAAGTGAATGGGATAGAAAAATTTTCAATTTTCCTTGTGCACAACTGAAAAATTACTCTGCAGAAAATATTGCAGATTTTATGAAGGATGTTTTTAAAGATTTGTTTAGCAAACAGTATGGGGAGTTACATTAGCATAATGGTCATGATGGTGCTGTAAACATGATGAAAACTGGGTTGTAAAGAATCTCAACATTGTTTAGCTCATGTGCTGAATTTATTATTAGTTTCTGATGGTATCAGCAAATGTCCTAAAGTCTTAACATCGCTTAAAAAATGCAAAATATTGTAACATGTTTGCGCTTCAAATCAACTTTTCATATTAATAGATTTTTGTGTTATAATGATGATGTATATCTTTATAATAAATTAAGAAAAGTTGCAGAAGTGAAAGAACTTGTTAACCTTGATAAATAATTCCCAATTTAAGCAAATCAAGCAAGTCCAAATGACAATCCTATCATTTTGGATATTGAAGATGAATTTAAGGTAAAGATGATTTACTTGTAGAAAACTCAAGATATAAATCTAAACAAAATAAAAATTTAAAACTCCAAGTATGTAGTCAGTGGAACAGTGCACTATTTATGATAGAGTCTATTGATCAGCTTTAAAATGATGTAAAAAAACTTTAAAAATAAATTTACAATAAAGAACTGTATCTCAATGAGCTACTAAGCAAACATGTTAAGTTCCTGAGACCTTTTCAAAATTTGACAAAATTTGTGTGTGTGGGGGGAGGGGGGGAGAGGGGGGACGGGGAATTCTCAATATTATTATCTCTTACTATCTCTATTCTGCCATTAGTCAAACATAAAATTGCATCATTTTTTAAGGCAAACGCTGATGATTTACCTGTGATAAAAAAGCTAAAAATGGCTTGTACCTCAAAATTAGAACAGCATTTAAAACTGTTACAAACAGCCAAATTATCATGTCTGTTAGATCATGCAGTTAAGTCTATGTTTATAATAAAGCAATTAATATACTATTAGAGACTTTATCAAGTTTTATAGAAAGTTTAATTCACATGCAGCAGTTAACAATATAACTTATAACAATGAAAATAAACTATTGAAAATATTTATATCATACTATATTTATTTCTAGCTTACCATAAGCTAGAAATAAATAAAGTATGATATAAATAAAATAAAAATTATAAATGTTAAAAAAAACTGACTTAGTAAGTTATATGGTATTTAATTATAATACAATAAATAAGTTTATAACTTATTTAGTCTATAACTATAGCTAGTTGCATATAACTTAAAAATTTTAACATTAAAACGTTTGTATTAAAGTATAAAATTATTCTACTGCTAAGAAATTACTGCTCCATGAAACTAAAGCGACGCTTCTAAGTTATGATCATAACAGACACCAAAGTTTACCCAAAGAAGTCAATAATTATACTAATTGTCTACTAACACAAGAAGAAAAAGAACCTGTAGAGTTTTGAAAAAATAATCATAAAAAGTTTCCCTGTCTGACAAGTGAATATTTATGCATTGCATCAAGCAGTGTAGCAGTAGAATGCATGTTTTTCACTTCTGGATTAATTGTCAATTCTCAAAGAAGTTTTACTAGACACAACTAATATGAACATGATTATTTTTATACAAGATAACTTTAGTTTATTGTAAAACAGTTAGGGTTATGAAATAAATTTAATAATTATAATGATTGCAAATAACACATGGTTTTCTCTATTTTCAGCTGGCTAGCCAGCTTCATTTTTTATTAGTCATTTTTTATTAGTCATAAGATAATGTACCACTAGTTTTAAAACTGGCTCTCCAGCTACTTGTATTAGAGAGCCAGCCACGTGTCTTATTTACTGACGGATGACAAGCCTGTCCACAGCACTGTTTTGAGCTTCTAACTAGTTAATTTCTTACATTAACCATCTAATCATTTTTATCAGTTTGTAATTAGTTTTTTTTATTTCAGAGTTATATAAAAATATATAAAATAAAACAAAACAAAAATATATCAAACAATCAAATTGAGAAATATATAAAACAAATCAAAAAAGGTTTTCACTGCGATACATTATTTTATGTTTATTATTAAACTTTTTTAATTATTATTTATCTTTAATACTAATTACTAACAATGTTACATCAATTACTGAGAATTTTTTAACTAACCTGCATCAATATGAGAAACTTTTGAAAATCTGGTAGGGTTAATTCCTCATTTTTGTTATGTTTGATGTTATAAACAAAAATTATAAATCTCAAAGTCCCCCAGACTCGAACAAAAACAAACAACAAAGGAATAACCATCAGCTTCCTCTCTAATGAGTGAGCAACTACCACTGTTTGAGATTGCAAAATAGGTGTTATTTCTCTCTCTTGTTCTACCTAAAAAAAATTATATATATATATAATTAAAAAAAAAAAATTATATATATATATATATATATATATATATATATATATATATATATATCCTTATCTCATAATCGAAAGAGACTTTTATTGTAAAAAAAAGTCTCTTTTAACAACAATTACGTGACCTCAACAAAAAAGCTACATTTTTATGTCATCTAAATGTCAAAGCAATTAAAATAATGCGGAAGTACATTGAGTTTTATTGTTTTTTAATAAACCGCAATAACAATGACAAGAAGTTTTTTAATTAATAGTGTTTTTGTTCTTGTTTTCTAAGCCCTTTCTTGTTTATTAGCCCTCTCTTTAAAACAAAAGTTTATGAAACTTTTCAACTACCATGCAAGACTATTTATATATATATATATATATATATATATATATATATATATATATATATATATATATATATATATATACATATATATATACATATATACATATATATACATATATATATATATACATATATATATATACATATATATATATATATATATATATATATATATATATATATATATATATATATATATATATATATATATATATACATATATACATATATATACACTTACTAAAGCGTGTTTTGATAAGCATTTGCTCACTTTTTCTGCTTACCTTAAGCTATATTTTTTTTTTGAAAAAGAAGAAAAAACGAAGAATGATGAATGAAACGATTGCTTCCCCATCATAAACCCTCAGTCGATGTTGCAGCACTCTACTGCGAGTCAGGCTATTTGTCAGTCGATATATGTACTGAAGCCCCCAACAGCAGGCTATTTCAGTATGAAGTCAGATTGCTTACCTTAGCACGCAATACTATTTGTATATATATATATATATATATATATACATATATATATATATATATATATATATATATATATATATATATATATATATAAACAATCAGTGTTGGTAGTTGCAACTAATATATATATGTACAGGCATGGACAGGAATGACGTGCAATCGCACACCATTTCTTTCCAAGCCTAACTGACCATGCATATGATTTTTTTTCTTTACAGTTTGACCATGGCTGTTTTAATGTTTTAACAAATTAAATGCAATAAAAAAAATCATTATGATATGAATAACTTTTAATCATTGATCTTTTTTAAAGATTTTATTTTATGCGAAGGCTTTAAATAAATTAAAAACTAATTATAATAATCATAAATAGATATAATGAATCATAATGCGTTTAAAATAAATGCATTTTGTTTGAATTAAAGTTTTATTTGAAATTTTTTTTAGTAGCCATGTATTTTTATAATAAATTTAAACATTTTAAATAACTTTTTAAGGTCTTTCTAAAAAATCTTTTAAAAGATTATTTTTTTTAAGTTAGTTTAAATTATGAATAAGTTAAATAAAAATCTTCCTGTTGCAATGCAATAATTTAATTGGTTTGTTTTATTTGTTTTTGTTTTACAAAAATTTGCTAAAAATTTTTTTTTTAAAACTTGACTTACTAATGAAATGAATAAAAATGAATATTTTAAAAAGACTACATTATTTTAAAAAAATTTTTTTTGAAAATTTTTGAAAAAAAATATTCATACAGTTTAAAAAAAGTATATTTTTTTCTTTTCAATAATTTAATTTCACTTTACAATAATTTAAATAAAACTTGTTCATTTATTAAACAATCATTAGAGGTAATTTGTTAAAGTGTTTTGCGCAACTTTAATAAAACATTATAAAAGATAAATTTTAAATAAATTTATTTCAAGCGCAATTAAAAAGGTAACGAAAAGTAATTTTTGCTTTTGAGTTTGAGTTTTGTTTCAAAGCTAACAACAACAACAAAATTTTTCTGGTGCCAAGCAAACAATTAATTTTTTTATAGTATTTCTCATTATGATTTCAAATATGCAACTCATTTTTCACCATCACATCAAGTTGTAAAGATATTTGGGTTCAAATCTTTAGTATTTGGGGTAAAGTCCGTAATATTGTCAAAAAAAAAGTTATACAAAAGTATGTCAACCTGGGTCTCAAAAGAAGCATATTTTCATAGAGATTTTGGAAAACATAAATATTTTTTCTTAAAACTCATTGACAAAAAAATTATGTGAAAAAATGCTTAAAACTTTTAAACAAATTTTAAAAACAAAAAGTACTTATTTTTATTACAAACGAATAACATTTTTGAAATGTTATTCATTTGTAATTAAAATAAGTTTATTTGTAATAAAAATAACTTCTTTTGAGATCCAGGTTGACATACTTTTGAATAACTTTTTTTCGAAAATATTAGAGACTTTACCCTAAATACTTGAACCCAAATATCTTTACAACTTGACGTGATGGTGAAAAATGAGTTGAATATTTGGAAACATAATGATCTATATTATAATTGACATAATGATCTATATTATAAACATAATGATCTATATTATAAACATAATGATCTATATTATAAACATAATGATCTATATTATAAACATAATGAGCTATATTATAATATATTGAATATTTGGAAACATAATGATCTATACTATAAAAAAAACTAATTGTTTGCTTGGCACCAGATAAAAAAAATTTTTTTGCTGGCCTGTATAATTTTTTATTAGTAAGGAATTGTTTTCTCTGTAGTGTTTTAAATTTTTTTTCCTAGTTTAAGTTTAGTTAAGCAGTTTTTTTTTAGCACATTACTGAAATAATAATATCATCAAAACACCTTAACACTCATGGTCAAGTTGTCAATAAAAAAATCATTTGCGTGGTTAGCATTAGCGTTTAATCGCATGTCATTCCTGTCCAAGCCTGCATTTGATAAACATATACCTTAATATCTCATTAATTAATCAGCTCAAAACATTTTCAGATTTATAATTTATATATACAAAAGATTAAGCTCTAAACCAAAGAATTTACAGCAAGTAATATTTAAGTTGCCTTAAAGCAAGCAAAAATGTCAAGAAAGCACTCAGGTAGCTCATATATCACCACCTTTTATTATAGCTGTATTATAAATATATCTGATTTATTTTCTATAAAAATACTAATATTAAAAAAATATAGTATACCATTTTATTTAAATGCAATTTGATCCAAATATATAACACAGTGAGAAATATATAAGAGAAGATTTCAATTCCTTTGCTATCCAAAATCATCCACAAAATAACATCATTTGTATCTAAATAATAATATAATAATATCAATAATATAATAATAATCATAATAATAATACTTATATTATTATTATTATTATTATTATTATTATTATTATTATTATTATTATTATTATTATTATTATTATTATTAACAATAAAAATAATATTTTAAAAAATTACAAAAAATAAATGGATAATAGGAATTACAAATAAATGTTTAAAACAACAAACTTCTGTATAATTTAGACATTTACTAGTTTGAAAACTTTGGTAGAGATAAAAAAGTTTGTTAAAAAATTAACAAATAATTAAATAAATAATAAATTAATAAATAATAAAAAATTAACTAAATTAAATAAAAATAATAAAAAATTAACAAATAATTAAATAAATAAAACGTGCACCTGCTGTAGCGATCCAACACCAGCCAGCTGATACTGCATCTTTACTGTTACCCAATTTATTAAATGCATATGCAATACAGTTAATTATTATAGGAACCCCCCAGCACACAACATGAAACAATGGAAACAACTTATTTGCAAGTAAATATTTTTCTTTAACAAAAGTTATAAACAAAAACACAGCTAAAATCATTGTCCACAACAAAGAGCACAATAGAGATGTTGAGCTAATAAAACTTTGGACAAGGCAGAAAACATCTTTACTTTTAGGTTTAAAATATAATGCTGTAAAATTGATTACAGCTGTAAACAAATCTGCAAAACTTATGTAAACAATAATTTTTCTAATAGTAGTACGAATATCTTTGTAAGAAATATACGTTATAATAATGCATAAAGATCCAATTATTGATAATGTTGATGCTAACCCCACCAATGTTTTATTTAAAATACTCATTGCAAACCTTTGGGATAATGTCTGGTTTATTTCCATTGTTGCTAAAATGTATATATAAACATAAATGTACAATTATTTCTTTAAAAAATTTATCAATTGAATCATGTATACGATAAAATAAAAAAGTGTTGAGATAATTAAAAAAGATTTTTATGCAGCTGATGTATAATTCATGAAAAAAAAACAGCGCTGTTTCAACTTCCTATCATTTTTATGTAATCATATTTAAAATGATTTTATTATTGATTATAATAAAGAATTTTATTCGATTCCTTTTTATTTATGATTTTGGAATAGTGGGAGAAGTGTAAAGACATAAGAAACAAGTGAATGTAATAGAAAAGAATATACAAAATATAATAACTCTATAGTTATAGTGGTATGGCAGAAATATTTAAATAGTTGTTGAAGTCTGCATAGAAATCTTTTTTTTTTTTTTTTTTTTATTACCTTTGGAAACAAGAAACTTTGTTTGAACACTGAAAAATAATGTTTATTTTTTTATTAAAGATAAAACTAAAATAACTTTCTTTTCGAAAAAGAAACTAAACATGCAGAGTTAAGTGATCATATTATGATCACCTAACTTGCTTTGTTCTTTTTTGAAAAGAAAATTTCTTATTTATACTAATGATTTTATTTATTTTAACTATGATTCATACTACTGAGTTAAAATTAAAACATTTTTAAATTGCAATGCTTAACATTGTTTAGCAGTAATTGAGGATGAATCATTTTTTCAGATATTATTTGATAAATTTTTTCTTTACATATAATTTCATTAAAAAACTATACAATATGAGTTGGAAATGAAAGTTTTTGCCACGAATAGCTGGTAAACTCAATATCCGAAAAAAACAACCTTATCCAATTAATATTCTGTTTTATTAAATGTCACGAGTCAAAACATATTTATCCGACCAAGACCATAACGAATATATTTGGGTTGTTAAACTTTTTTTGGAACATGAATTATTTAATTGTTATTAATTAACTTTTGGGAATATATTAATCAATAATTATCAATAGCAACGATACCCCCTGTTTCCGGCATGAAAAATTGATTGAAATTGGAGTTTTAAAATGATTTTTGTGCCGCCGTGGCGCAGTGGTAAGAGCGCTTGCTGTAGAAGCAGGAGGTCCAGGTTCGAAACGAGCTCTAGACATATTTTTGCATTACGGTAAGGAAGGAGGCTTGAACTTCCTGGTTAAATGCACTTCCGCGGTGCTCTGTGACAAGACCGTTAGGTCTTCTTGGGGCACCTAAATAACATTAACAAAAAAAAAAAAAAAAAGATTTTAGATATAATAATCATTATTTAAAATTTATAATATAATAATTATTATAAATATTCTTATTTAAAACCGTTATAACGGTTTGAAAAAAAATGCGGTGGGTGTGGGCCGCACTGGAATTCACCATAACGACTAGATAAAGAGGAGTGACGCCATATAAATAAAAAGGAAATATGCCAGAATGTTAACAAACTATAAATTAGTGTCAAAATTTTTATCTAGAAAAAAAAAATTCTTGGTTGCCTCATGAAAAAAAAAATATGCCTCTTGGTTGCGACGATCAGTGGCCAGAGTAAAAATACTAATATCTTTTTCAATATTTATTAACAGTAATGCTGAATTATCAACAATGAAATTCTTTTAAGGATGATTTAATTTTATTTAAAGAAAAAATCATTATCGCAAGTAGTATTCTTAGATTTTAACAAACTACAGTCTATTCAATTATTGAAAAATATAAAAATGATTTGCAGATTGAACGGCAGTTAAAAAGGTATTTCTAGAAACAAAAAGTTAACTATGTTTATGGAATATTAATTATGGAATAACTCTTGATGAAATAAAACTTATTGAAAAAAAATCCGAAAAAAAAAATCCGTTTTCTTATTTGATTCCTTAAAGAAAAATCCGAAAAGAAAAATCCGTTTTCTTATTTGATTCCTTAATAGTGGTTACTTGCAGCCTTGTTGGGAGCACAGACGGATTCAGGAATTTTCGGTGGGGTTATGTTGAAATATTTTTTTAATTTGCACCATATTTGTGACTCCTAAAAAAAATTCCTCAATTTCTAATATATTTTATGACTTTTGGATGCTGGTGTGTGTATGTATCTGTGTGGGGGAAAAGCATATCCCTATCCCCCCTGGATCCGACACTGGTTGGGAGGTAATCAGAATTTAAAAAAAAAAAGTTTTTACCTACAAATTTACCCTTTTTAAATCCTATTGAAAATATGCTTTCTGAATGAAAACTGTTTATCAAAAAAAGTTAGTATAAAACTGAAGAAGAATTACTTTAAATTATTTAAAATTGTGCTTTAATTATTACTTGCATAAAATACAATATTTATTTTAGGCACATGCTTAAGTTTATGATTTTCGTGTTCAAGAAGAGAATCAGTAACTGATGAATAAACTTACATTTGTTATGTTATTTTTTAATAAACAAATATTTGCAATTGTACTACTTTTATTTACAACATTTGGAAAAGTTTCTACCAAACCATCATTGAGCAAAATGCGGTACATCAACAACTCCTTGTTTGTTTTTGTATCATCTGAATTCATTTGTGTGACTATGTAAGACCAAAATTGAACCATTTTCTCTCCCAAGCTGACTTCAATGTCATTAGAGTAATCTTCTGCTAAAGTCTTACAATGTTTTATCACTTCCATACGAGTCAATGTTTGCAAATTGTTCCTGAACCCAAATCTGCTGGCCACATCTGAATATGCGGCAGATCTGTGAGCCAATGTTGCTTTTAATTGATCGGTAATAGCAATCAGCACCTTAACTCAAAATTTATCTTTTCCAAGCAGGAGAACTTCTCCAGAAGTACCTTCATCAACCTGTTGCCTTTTCTGACTCTTTTGACTTCTTTTATATATGCTTTACATTAGGACAACTCTTTTCCATATTTCTCAAATTTATCTATACTCAGACAATGAATTCAACAAACCAAAAGCTTTATTCAAATCTAAAGTGGCACCTTGTAAAGCTAGTTTTGTTTTTATTGAATCTTTGCAGTATTGTGTTCCAAAAGACAGTCAAAGTACCAGTTTTCAATTCACCAAGACGTTTAGCCCAAGTGACTCTTGTCGAGTTTAACCTTTTGTACGTTCATTAATTGCAATGATGTCAAGAGCAAATTGAATACTTTTGTAACCCTTTCCACTAAGCACTTGTTCCTTCAGAATGTGCTGACCAACGTGTGCTGAACAACGTGTATTTTTTAGCCACTGGTGTCTTGTATTTGGCTAACGCTTTTTTCAGGACTGTCCATCGATGAGTGAAGGCACTAAGGAATGTGTTGAGCTAGTAAATGCAACATGTCAATGACTTATTAGAACTACATACATTGTCCCTAATTTCCCCCTTTAAGTTTATTTGACATTTTAAAAGTAAGAGTTTCAAGTCGTGTTATTCGCTTGAAATCAAAATATTTATAACGTCATATTTTTATGCACCCAAAAATACACGATATTTTTTCTCCAATGAAATTCAATGCACATTGTTTGAACAATACTTTTTTTTCTCCAATGAAATTCAATGCACATTGTTTGAACAATACTTTTTTTTCTCCAATGAAATTCAATGCACATTGTTTGAACAATACTTTTTTTTCTCCAATGAAATTCAATGCACATTGTTTAAACAATACCTTTTTTTTCTCCAATGAAATTCAATGCACATTGTTTGAACAATACTTTTTTTTCTCCAATGAAATTCAATGCACATTGTTTGAACAATACTTTTTTTTCTCCAATGAAATTCAATGCACATTGTTTGAACAATACTTTTTTTTCTCCAATGAAAATCAATGCACATTGTTTGAACAATACTTTTTTTTTTTATTTTAGTTATAAAATAAAAATTGGTGAGATTTACACACTTGTATCACAAAACAAACTAGTTCTTAATGATAAATCATTGTCTTCATCAGTATTAACTCTCATAGTTTCAGTAGGTAAAAGATTTTCAGTAACTAAAAGATTGTAAGTGTAAAAACTTTATAAAAGTATATTGTAAAAAATGCTGCAAACAATCATGTTAATAATTTTAAAAAAAGCAATGAAAATTGGTTGGCTCAAGATTTTTAGTTTACGTACATTATGCTAAATTCTAAAGATGACCGTGTCATTCTTTTGAAAACTCATGCAACAGAACAAAAAAAAGAAAGCTTCACAATGTTATTAACAGTTTTCTGGCGCTGAATTACTATACTACTATAAAGTTTGAAGTATTTTGCATAACCGTTCTAAAACTTTATATATCAATTATTCATGGTATTGAATACATTGTCAGAATCTATCCACAAAATTTTGGTTCATGGCCATGCCATAATTGCAAGACAGTTTTTACCAAATGGAATAATGTCAGAAGATGCCCTAGAAGCGCGAAATAAAGATTCCAGGAGCATTTTAGCAGAAAGACCTCAAGAAAGGAAATTTTCAAGAAATTTTGGTGTGACCTCACACTAAAATTTGATTAATAGGCTTTTTCTATCTAATGATCCCGTTATAACATCTCTTAGAAAACTTAAGTTAAATAACAATCAAAGTTTGCATAAACTTCCTAGTGAAGTTTTAGAACTAGTGACAAAATCAGCTCCGTAATTGATTTTTCATATATAAATTAGCTCCGATGATTTTTCATATATAAATTAGTTCAAGCATTGTTTTCTTTTTTCTTCGCGTTTTTAAATCATAATCATTTTTGGTATAAAAAAGCTAAAAACGATGTCATTCAGAATGTGGGGGCAATAGGTTTTAAAGATAAAAGAATATAATACTTCAGACTAGATCATAATTATTCTATAAGCTTGACATTTCATCATAAAATATCTATATATATAAAACGTCATGAACGTTTTATTAGAACTTTAACAAACTCAAATATAACAAGTTATAAATTCGCGTTTTAAATTTTTTTTTAGTTATTTTCTGTTTATGTATTAATTAAACTAAAGTTTATAATAAAAATATTTTTAATTTTAATTTGCAAAGTCAAAGTCATTTTTTCGTTCCCTTTCAGCAGACATCTTTAACTTTGTTCGTGCGGAAATTAAAAAAAAATCAAAACAACGTGATTAATTATATATTTTCTTAATAAGTCTTTCTTAATAATAATAAAATTCTTAATAAGTTATTCCTTATAAAACATAAATAAAAATGGCCTAAATTTTTCGTTGTATTTTTTTTTAGATTTATTATTATAGTTTCTTTTTTCAAACACTTTAATTTTTATTTGATCGCTATCAGACGTCCGTGCTTCAAAGCTGGCTCTGGCCATATATGCATCATTGGTAAGGAAGAAGTTTCTGGTTATATGCTATTCTACGGTGGTCTATGATAAGACCGTTAGGACTTTTTGGAGCACCTAAATATCTAATTAAAAATGATAATAATCCTATAATAAAACTGTTACATAATAAATCATAAAAAATTAGCTATAATTATACTAAATTAGTATAAACTTAATGTTTATATTTAATAAAGTAAAATCACTTTAACTCGAACTAATATCTTGTTTTAGCCAAAGTAAGGCTTAACGAAATTCGCTTTAGTCGAACATTCGTAAACCATTTTCCTTGGTCCCTTGGAGGTTTGAGTTATCGGAAATTAACTGTATTTTCTTAATGGCATCTATACTAAATGTAGAAAAGATTTAGAAAACTAAAAAAAGATGTTGGGAACAAAGCAAAAAAGTTATAAAGTAAAAAACAGGGAAAAAAAAGTTAAAAAATTTACAATTAGCAACAGCAACAACAAAAAAGTTTTAAAAAAGATTTAATTACAATTTTTTACAATTTATTTTTACTTATATATATATATTTATTTTTACTTATATATATTCACTAATAAAATAAAAAGAAAAAAACGTTCTTTTTAACCCCAAGCCTCAGATTTGCAATAATGCAGAACAAGTTTTCCATCTGTACCAAAACATTCATAAAGATTGTTTAATGTCTGATCAGGAGATGGTACAAAAGTCTGGTTTACATACACGAACAACGATTCAGATGGTTCACATTTAATGTACTTCTTTATAAATTCTATAATATAACTTACTGGTTTAACTCCATCAACATTCCATCTCCTTTTTTTCATGATGGGAGCATCCCCAGCCGCTTTTAATAAACAGTCCACTTTTTTATCTTTTGAATCTAATTGAGAATTTGTTACTGTTTGTTGATCCAGATTCTTGGGTAATGTATTTTTAGAAGAGACGTTTTCATCTCCTGATTCAATATCTTCCATTTTAAATATATATTCAATCTTTATTAATAATACAATCATAACAATAAATAAAAAAATCAGTAAATAATTTTTTTTGTAGTATTTTACCTAGAAACTTTTAACTAGAACTTATCAAAAAACGAACTTACTAAGGCCCTAACTTACCAAGAATTTACTTGCAAACAAGGCTGAAAACTATTAAAATTGGAAGTTGATAGTAAAATAATGACATAAACTATTAAAGGAGTTACTCAAAAATAATGACAACAGTTAAAGAGGAAGAAAACAATTGACTTAAAAAACTGTAAACTTTAAAAGCCAGGAAAACATGAAAAATATACTAAAAAGATGTAAAGTAGAGAACTCAGTAATTGACCCTTATCAAAAAATGACCCTTCATCAAGAATTGACCCTTCATCAAGAATTGACCCTTCATCGAGAAACGACCCTTCATCAAAATATTGCTATAACTATTAGCAGTAAAACATTTTTTGCACTAAAACTCACAATAGACACTGCTAGTCCCCCCCCCCCATCCTATAGAAAAAGAGAGATTACTTTCAAGATCAACTACCTATTCTAGGCCATCAATAAGTGATAACTTTTATGAAGGAACAAGAGGAACATAGTACAAACTAAGGTTAGAGACAAGATATAAATCATGGAGCAAAGGTAAGTGATTAGGGCAAGATTTACCTATAGAGAGTCTAGGCAGCTGCTTAGGACTGCATAATTTTGGCAGCCTCAAAATTGGTTTGAATGTTGCAATTTGCTAAGGTCTTTAGAAAGTTATTATTAAAAAATAATACTTCCATAATTGTAATAATTGCTACACAACAATTTTCTTTTAACAATCAATTAACTTCTAGTAAAGTTCTATTTGCACAATCATTAATGATTGTAACACTAATTTCACAAAAAAGAATTCTGTAAAGCTGTTGTGCTACATAAAAGAATTGTAAATGCAAAAGCAAACAAAAAACAGTTTCACAATATCTAAACTATATATTGGTTTTTCATTCCAAATAATTTTGCAAAATAATGAGGGGCCCAAAAATTGATTTAGCCTAGAGTTCTTGAGGGCGTAAATGATCAGAGGGTGTAAGTGACTAAAGTTATCTAGAAAAAATGTCAACTATCTGAAAGATAAAAAAAAGCATAAAATTTGAGCTATAGTACTAGCAGGCCAGTGCTAAATTTTTGACAGATAGGAGCCAAACTAATTCGTGCGATGAGCATTAAGTAACCAATAGCAACAATATTGGCAAATAGATATGGTACACAAGTGGTGCTTTACCTGTATATGATTTTTATTAATTGCATTTTGTAAGAAAAAAAAAAAAAAACTTTCATGCCAAATTAGTTATCTAAAGTCGGTAAAACAATATAAATGTTGCAATAAAACAAAATAATTTTTATTGTTATATTTTTAAATTAAGTTAAAGATTGATCAATCAAAATGCTGTTATATTGCTTTGCTTATACACCATATCAATTATTACCCAGAACAATTTTTGTTGTAAAACCTTTTTATTAAAAATATGTGTTATAAATATGAATGAAAAATTCAAATTTTATAGCTTTTGTATCCTAAATTTGTTAATTTTTTCTTGCTAAAGTCTCAACATTTTTTGAGCTACTGAACACCAAAAACTAGTAGTATGTAGTGATTTTGTGACTAATAAATATTGTTAATATATATTTTTTAAAACATCTTAACTTCCAACAAGGCTGCAAGCATCCACTATTTGAGTTGAAAGTTATTGGAAGAGAAAAGTTGAACTTTATATAGCGATTAACAGACGACTTAAGTTTTGGAGCACAGTAAATGGATGAGAATTGAATGACGAGTAACACAAGAATGAACTTTACTAAATGGTACAAGAACGCAGCTCTTTAGAGCACCACCCATTATAATATTTATAGAAAAGAGAAGGAGAAGCAACATTATGATGATGTGACAATAGTTGAAGGCTGCTGCAAGAGCAGGTCTAATTGTGTTTACAATGCATTTTTGCACCTTTTGCACTAAACCGAAGTAAAGAGTGAGGCTTGACTTGGAATGGTCAAGAGGGAATAAAAGATTCCATGCCAGCCTGAATCCAAGAAGTTTCATAAGAAGCACATTTGTCAGCAGGAAGACAAAAGATTTCTACACAAGGGCCAGTACGAAGAAAATCAGGGAAAAAGTCCCAGTTTAAAGCAGTTTTTTTAAGGCAGTTGTAAGAGGTACAATGATAGGGAGATTCCGATGATGAAGAAGAATGAGATAATAGTTTTAGAGAGATCAAACCGTGATCAGAAGCACCTGAATAAGATCAGAAATACAGAGCACTGAATAGGATCAGAAACAAGACATAATAAGAGTAGAGAAGGTAAATAATTGGGATTGTCTGGAAAGTGAGTTGGAAAGTAGACTATTTGTGTTAGAGATTACGAAAGGCAAAAGTTGTAAGCCTTAACACTTACAGAGTCATTGACACTAGAACCAAGTCATTCAGTATGATGAGCATTAAAGTCACCAACAATAATATTGGCAGAAGAATAAAGAGAAGGGGCTCGCTCAATTTCAGAAATAACATCAAAAAGAGTGCGGTCTTGAGACAAAGATATAGAACAAAGAGAAAAGCAATAGAGTGAAGTGATGCTAAATGAAAGCACATTAAAGAATAGTTTGTGGATTCAAACCTAATTTCCCGACAAATAGATGAATTCTTAAAAAAGTAAATGCCCAAGGCAAGCTATTAGAGTCTTTACGAATTAAAAAGAAGATAACCATCAACGCTAACATCACAAGATGAGACAGCTGAACTCAAATTAGTCTCACAAATAGCAAATAGGTCTGGTGAACTTTGCATAAGATAAGACTCAACATAAGAAAAGTTACTTCAAAGACCACAAATATTAGTGAATGATAGATTTAGAAAACTTGGTGATGACAATGGTTTTTTGTGTTTTATAGCTTTTGATACTTCAGTAATTTTTTAAATTGGTTAAAGAACTTGACTCAAAGCACAGATAGTACTCAGTAATCTTGTAGTCCAAGCAATTGCCTCATTACTATAAACCCTAAGCTGTAACAAAGGTCTCCAAATGTGGCCTCAACAATGCACACCAAAAGTACAAACAGGGACATGCACAACACAGCAATGTTAGTACTCTGATACTTTACAGCTGTTGATAAAATCAACCTCTCTGAGAGCTACCGCAGTGTTTAAGAAACATGACCACCAGCCGGCCTCAGAATCATAAAACTGAATTTTAGAGCTGTACCCTCATTAGGAGATAATAGATTGATATATATTTTATGTACATATCATAGATAATAATTAAATATAATAATAACATAAAATGTAGCAATTATGACACAATAATAAATAAATATAAAATAGATAAATAATAAATAAAGCAAAAATCAAACCACTTGTTTGTTATAGAAATTTTATATCAAAGATAACAAGAGTACAGAGAAAAATTATAAAGAAATACTCTCCAACAATATATTTTTAAATCGAATTATGTTGAGCAGTAAATAATCTGTAACAAGGGAATTTTTTTTTAGACTTTTTTAATAATGCAGGAATACACTGGTTCCTATGGGAAATACATTGCTGTTTTTTGGAAAACTTACCATATTTAATTGTGTTGAAAAAAGAAGAGTATAGCTTACTATTTTCTGTATTCCTGGTGTGATGATTATGATTTTCATTTGTTTTAATGAAAAAATTTAAAAAAGAGTTTGGAGCTTTATTTTGGAGAAAGTCAAACACAAAAAGACAATTGTAAAACTTTACAAGATCATGGAGTTTTTGCATTTTTAGTTCAGGAAATTTTTTTTGAATATCAGATCTCATTGGTAAAAACATCATTATTCTAATAGACACGCATCTATATAAACTAGCAATGCTATTAAGTAAAAAGTTACTTTTTTGACCCTAAACAATACAACAATAGCAAAGGTGAGAAGAGAATAAAGAAGAATAAATCATTGGTAGAGTTTGGATAGGAACATAATAACGAATTAGAGAAAGCATACTGTTAGCTAGCGTCAGTTGATTATACCAAGCGGTTTTTATCAAGATATACTACAAGATACTTTATATATTTTGATGGAAAAAGTTTTTTTCCATTAATTTTAATATTATCAATAGTTTTTTGAGGGGAATGAAAAATAATGTATTCAGTTTTATCGAGATTCAAGGAAATAAGATTACTATTTAACCAGTTACATACGTGATGAAGATCTTGATTAACTTACAGTCGAAAGTGATTTGTTAATATATAAAAGATTGGTATCATCAGCATAATGATGTACCATTTTTCTAATGAACAAGATAAAATATTTCTATATATAGAAAACAATAACAGTCCAAGAACGGCACCTTGTGGAACGCCATATTTAATAACTTTATGTGTGGATTCAAATCCATTAATTGAAATAAACTGAATGCGATCCTTAATATACAAAGAAAACCAATGTTTAGCAATAACACATATTCTGTAGTAGTTTAACTTTTTTATTAGAATGTTGTGATCAACCGTATCAAAAGCTTTTTGAAAATCTATGAATACACTACAAGCAAAGGAACCACTGTCAATTGCACCACAAATCATTTCAGTATTGCTAATAAGAGCATGAGAATTGGAGTGATTTGAGCAAAACCCAAACTACTGAATATGAAAACAAGCAGAATTATTTAAAAAGTTGTAAATACGAGAACACATAAGTTTTTCTAAAACTTTGCTAACATTTTATAATAATGAAATAAGTCTGCAGTTATTACATTCAAGTTTTGAGTCTGATTTTAAAAATATCAGGGAACTGGTGATGAATGACATTTTAAATAGTTCAAAAAGTACAGGAGAGATCACTTGCAAGAGCTTTAAAAATAGGTATTGGAATGCTGTTAGGTCCGGAAGCCTTGCTGTCATTAAGAGAATGAATAATAGATAATGCTTTGTTTTTGTCTGTAGGTTTTATGAATATTGATTTAAGATTAGGATTTTAAAGATATTTGTTAAAGTCAGTATTGAATGAGTGAATCTTTTTCTGTAATTCTTCCGGAACT